TCTCTGTATTTGGTGTACAATACAATTAAAATATTAAATGCTACAGAAAGTTCTCTCAGAAACATCTTTATTTATATCATGCTATAGGTACTACACTTTATAAATGTATTAACTAATTATAAACTCATGAAAATGTTGTTCAAGACACAATAAAATGTGTAACCTTCAGGAAAGTGAGGTTCTTCACTATTTAATTTATGAATATAAAACTGCATTGGGGGGGGGGGGGGCAATTAGTTTAAATTGCTCGCCTTCAGAGTAATGTTGTTCCGAATTTAAAGATAATCGGTTTTGAGCTCAGTTTCCCTTTGCTATAGGCCTAACATTTGTGCTGCAAAATTATGGTAGTTTTAGAAATGGAAAAAATAAAAAGTATAGCTAGTTTCAATGTAATACGTCATAGCGTAACATCTATGTGCGGTATAATTGGCATGTTTATGCAACTTTCACTACATTGGCTCATTGAACTTAGGCTGGAACTAGCAATTAAATCTCAATATCTGAAATAAAAATATCTTAGACGCATTTAACGTTATAATTAGTTCACGGCATTTTAGATACTACTCTGTTTAAAGATGCTATGGATAAATGTGAGCCAATCCTGCTTAGATTAATTAAAACATTTTTAGAGCCAAATTTGTCAAAACAATTGGATCATCTCCAGTAAAATGGCGTTTAACTTCTCGCTTTGGCAAGATAATTAATTATAAAGTGGAGTTAGTCAGATTGAATTGTCTGAAATTATTTTAGTCACTTGAACCCAAATTCTCATTAATTCCTATATTTAAATCCATTAACAAAACTTAGGTGGTTTAAGGGGAAGAAATTTACCACCTTCACTTCTACCTTTAAATAATAGCGCAATAGCTGAAGTTTGCCAAAACTTCAATCAGATCCAACATAAAATTATATCAAACTAAAAAAAGTAATGAAGGCATCTTCCCTTAAACCACCTATGTTTTGTGGACGGACTCTAGTAAAAAATCACTTTGGTGTAAAATAAAATAATGTACTATAGTAGGCTTTCATACATCTCTATCTCAACAATCCAGTCCTCAAAAATCTGGACTTACTCTTAAGTATAAATACTTTTTTGTTAAAATCAGTCGTTTTCCATACACTCGTTGCGGTATTTAAGTAGGTAGCTATTTTGTATTCTTTTCACTAAAATGTTCAGTGAAGTCTAATATATCAGTTATGTTACACATTTACTCAGCTTCCTACTTGAAAATCGCATTTTAAAGCGCACCAAGCCTTAAATTAATGTCCAGGTCCTTTAAATACATTCCTGTTGACGATCATGGATATATTATTACCCCCACATCAGCAAACCTGCAGACTATGCAAACTTCCACTTGCCTGATTGGATTTTCACTAAAATATATACTTAATTATGTCAGGTTTTGAGGTTTATTACCTATTCAAATAACATAATGCTTCAAGTGAAAAGAAAAGAAACATATGAAGTATGTTTTTGTGAAGTGTTGCTATAGCTCATCTGTCATATTTCATCAAAGTATATCCATAAATAAGCAAATTATATATATTTACTTATTCTCCATAAGAATAACATAAGAATTATAAAGGTACAGTTTTATTTTTTTTATTTTATACGTAACCTTTATTGTACAACAATGCTTCAACATACAAAGATGTTTGCTGTTTTAAGCTCTACGTGATAGCTGTAATGGATATCGAGCATTTCCATGGTTTAAAAACTAAAAAAAAAAAAATTTAGAACAGCTTTAAAATTCTATAACACCCCTCTCGGACAGCCCAATCTTGCTTGTTCGCAGACTCATGCAAGTTTATTAAGTTCTACACATTCATGCCAAATTTCATGGCTACTAAAATGGAGTAGTGAAATAAAAAAAATTAAATGCAGTTTAAGAAGAAAAATACAATCTGAAAATCATATCTTTGAATCGATATAATTTCGGTCGTTGTTTCAAGTATTGTTCCACTAACAACCCATGTTAATTTTTTTGCAAAGGGGGACACATAATCTTTGTTAAACTTTATTATGATCCAATTTGACTAGTTCTTAAATTTGTAGTCCATTCATATACTTTTACTATAAATTTATGTACCTTAACTTACTTAATTAGTAACTTAATTTTAAAAGTAAACCACTTGTTTTAAAAGTACAGCCGGGATACATGATCAGTACTATTTTCTTTACTTGTGTTTGTATTTTTAATGTCTTTTGCATACAATAATGGAATTTAAATTAGCTACTAAAAGCTTATTTACGTTTTGATAGTTGATGTGCTGAAATGAAAGGTTCAACACATAAGTTCATCTTTGGGCTAGAGTAGTTTTGACTTTACAAAAATGAAGGTACTCATAGTTGATGTGAGGTCAAGCATCAACTCACGTAATAATTTCCAGGTCGTAAAGTATATAGAGGTCAACAGAATCGTATGTCACGTTTATAGCCATTACTCTTGAGGATTTCTCTTTGAAAAATGTGTTCCGTATAACTACCTTAAAGGCTTGTTCTTAGTCCTTCTACTGAATCTTTCTATGAATATGCTTCTCCATAACGCAACAATATAAAATACACCCCAGGGGATTTTACAGTTGTTTTACAGCCATTCAAATAGGTCTTAACATAGGGAATTTTATTCTTTGACACACTTTTGATGAAAATACAATATGGGCAGTTAGGTTTGCTCCCTAACGGAATATAGGCTACATACGCATTTACATGGTTAAGTTAAAAATCCCAGCCATAAAACAAGAAACTTTCCACATAAAACGAGGACATACCCATAAATGAGGAGACTACATTATTTCTGTTATGCACAAGGAAAGTATTTGGGACATTTTACATGCCTCGACAATACAGTATACATACCTACACACTCGTATTTTGGCTCGCTTGGGGCTCGGCCTTCAGACCCTCTTTTTTGGTTGGCTGATTGTTGGAAATATCCTCGGAGAAAATCTGTTACTAATAAATTATTTTACTAAGTAAAATAATAAGAAGATGGTAAATTACTAATACTGTAGTCTAATGCAACTGAAGTGTTTTTAATATAGAAATATTTGGGGGGGGGGATGTTTAAGGGGGTGTAAATTTTATACACTTTTCAAAATTATTCCTTGGTTTTATAACGAAGACTAGTAAGTGTGTAAGATGTCAAGTCCTTACCACGATGAAAGAGCTGTTATGGGAGGGGGGGTTCAATTTTTTTTGATGGGGGTAAAAATGCTTAATTCCGTTAATATATTGGGTTTTAGTACCTCAGTCTAGCCTTCCTGCCAGATGTCAAGTATCTAGCACGTCTGTGAATTGACAGGTGACCTTTGAACATGTAACGCCCAGAACAATGATTTAGAATTTGAAAATCCTTCGTTTCAAATTTGTTGGAGGGTTGTGAAAGTTTTGGTTTTTTTTAGTTTTTAATCGACGTTGAGAGCATTATAAGTACAAATATATGTCCGAAAAGTAATTAAAAAAATAAAAACACGTTGAAATTCCAGGAATTTTATAACAATTAGAGGTGTGGCATTTGTTTGGTTAAAGGGGTGTGATTTTCAGAAAGATTTTGGGAAGGGTGTGACGCCTAAGGTTTTGTAGTAAATTTAATTCCCGACCAAAAATATATTTTGAAATCTTTGCTAGCTCTTACAGTTTTTGAGTGATAGAAATGTATTTTGTACACTTTTAAGATATTGTAATTTTGGTTTAAACTCTTCCCACTTAAAAGTATACCTACGATAGTCTGCTGGGACTGGTCCACGATATTATTGAAATATATCAATCCATTGTTAAAGTTATTAAGAAGCTATTAAAATCACTTCTGTTTGAGAGTTTTTGGCCAATAGACATTCGTAGTAATAATAAATTAATCAAACACTATTTCATGAATAGATACTTAAAAAGGTCAGTAAATATTTGAAATAGGTATCAAGAAACATACATTGATTAAACCAAGAGAAACTAAGTAATATTAGAGGGTTACTGTACTGCCATTTCATCTATTGAGAGCAACTGGAGCATTACAAGAGACTTCACGATCAAGTGAGTTGATCCATTACCGCCACAGTGATAGATGCAAATCGCCTTCTCAACTTAGTTGAGCCTTCTCAACTGTACATTGATCATAAGTAGATCGAGTTCAACGGAACAGAGACACCGTTTAACTTGAGGCGGTTCGACCGTAATATATTAAATTTATCAGACTAATATGAATAGATAAAGTAAAACAATTTTTACATTAAAACTAAAATGTAATAAGAAAGTAAAAAAACCTATCAGTGATAGGCGAAATATATTCCTACGATCTTAAAAGCGTGTAATAAATCAACATTATATATTTGACTAACGGAAAATGGCAGTCTAAAGGATTGTTTCGTATAATACCTACTTAAATAATTTTTATATGTTTTATACTTTGATCTAACATAGTCAGTCCTAAAAACCATCTTTATGAGTCGTAATGGTGTGCTAAAACCTTTATTTCAAACAAACTAACCTTACTTACCAAAGTAAACTTATTAACAAATGAGTGTTTTTATTATACTTTCTACAATCTTTTGCCTGTAGGGTCAATTATTGGATCTTTATTTTATGGATTCAGTCCCGTTTTGGTTCTAAGACGGATAATCGATTGCAAAGTCGAGTTATTATGTTATCGAGCTTCTATGTTAAGTAATAATTAACTCCTTACGAGATCGAAACAGGTTTAATTGGCTGCCATGTGAAACAAAATGTGGTTGATATATTACCACTCTCAAAGTATTTAGATAAATATATATATTTTTCCTTAACTTTTCATAAATTATAAATAATGTTGAAATTTATAAACATTGTTAGAAAACAAGAATACACTAAGAGAGTTAAGGTGTAGAACAGATACTCAAGTCAATTTAGATACATTTTTATATTACAAGAAATTCAAAACAGTTAGGTTAAAATGTTTAATTTAAAAGGTACGTTATTACAAACTATATATACTCTGTAAACCAGTTATATTAATTCATTGATGTTATCACTCCACACGTTTCGTCCACTGACTGTCTCGTCAGTCGACTGTCCACCGGTGTAGGTGGAGGTGTACTGTCTAGTCGTAGCGAGGATGTCTCGACTGTCAGGTGTCAAAGCTACTCAGAGGAACCCCTTCCACAGGCTCCACTCTGGGCTGCCACCTGAAATAAACAGATACATTCAAACAATCATTAGGTGAGTTGGTGGCTCAATGAGTCAGTGAGCGGGACTGAGAATTCACGTTAGTGATGCGCTGGGGAGCGAACACCACTAAATCTTATCAAATAGGTTTACTATTTTATTCTACCGGCTCACCCAAGTTCTTTGCTCAATACGTTCAACGTGAGGCCTATTAGGCCTATGTAGGAAGGCAAATTTGATGTTAAAATAGGCCACCAATCTCTTAAAAGATAATAACTCAATTCTACTTTCACTGAGTATCTATCCGAGTAAAACTAGGATGACTAAAATAGTAATAATCTACGGAATAGTCTGTCAGAGCAATAAAGCTTTTAACTACGTGTGGTGTCATGAATATGTAATACTTTCTACTCCAGTTTTGGCTCATCCCTTACTTTTCCTGATACTTCCTGGCTTGAAAATGTTTGTTCGGTGCGATTAAAATCAGTAGTGTTTATCAAAACTCTTGGTTTGGTTTAACTTTTGGTCTTTATGACCAATCATTGAACTCCCCATGTAGATAGTAAATGAAGAATGTTTAAGTTTTAGATTTAAATATCAGTTTTGAATCCTCCTGAACCCGACAAACTTGTTTTAGAAGTAATGACTAAGTGTGTGTGTGAGTGTGGTCACTAATCCATAATGTCTCCAGGAGTTTATTTATTTATTTTATTATTATTGGGTTTTTTTCATGAAAACCCATAAAATAACATATTTTTATACTAAAGACTTGAATGGTTTTAGAAAACATTTATTATGTCATGGCTATTGTTACCTATAACAAAATGGTTCAACCCCAAATACTGTAACAATCCCAGTTAGAAAGTGATTGTACGTTTTGTGATTTCAACCAAAATAATATAATCGTTACTCCCCCTGCTTACCCATTATTAGAGTTGATGAGAAGCTAATGGAAGAAAGTATGTATCATTTTGCTGGTACCATTTATTTTGTACGTGTCAAAATATTAACTGCTAACTAATTGCTGAAATTCATTATTTTTAGAAAAGGGGTTCAACTGGCTTATTGGTAACGGCATTTGAATAGTTAGAAACGTAAACAAAATTAATTGTATCAGGCCTACACCTTTCAAGTAGGCACCAATTTCTTCAGTTGGTGCACTAATCGTTACACTTAAAACCTGTTTAAAATGTACAAAATTATCTAATTTAAACAAAATATGAACTTAAGATAAACTAAAGCTAAAGGATCAGTATGTTAATAAACATTTCACTAGAGTTAAAGCTGCATTTGATGTTTAGGGTATTTAAATTGATCTCCATATCAATAAAGTGTTGTTGTGCAGGAGTGAATATTAGAATACGAGTAAAAACGCAAACTACTTCTGTGGCCTATCGAAATAAGCTCTTATACTTCCTAAACTTTTAATCACAACTATGAAGACTTAAGTTACGTGGTTTACTCTGAAGTTTGAAGTGGAGCTAGCAAATAACCAACTCCTTGAAAAGCAACTTCCGTCAGACGTAATCCTGCCAATGCCGTCTCACAGGCACAAGTTGTTAACACGGTGCTTCCTTTAAACTAAATTACGTTCCATAAAAGTAAAATAGCAAATATGTGAAGTCCCGAAATTCAACTAATTCAAAATAAATTAGTAGCTAATCCAAACTTCTAAAAACCAAACATCTTAATTTGATATTTATGTTAATAACTATTGAGAATAATCATAAATAATAACGGTGTTTTATCTAGAGAATAAGATAATATACGAACTTCAGATATTGCTTCTCCTTCAACCATTTAAAGCTTTAACCGTGACTTGCTCTGATACCTTAATCACTTTGCTTTACATAGCTTACTTTGTAAGCTTTTAGCTTAAAAATAATCGTATGCTTGAATTATAATTTCAAAACTATAAACTACCTAAAGTGTTTCGTTATCTCACCTTATCGATGTTCTCTTTGATATCGTGTAACAACTTCCAGGCTGACTACGTTCAGATCCTGAAATATTGTGAAAACATAAAATGTAATTTCTCCACACAATATTCCTTCTAGGCTAGGCCTATCCTATGTTTAACAACAGAACGATATTCAATTACAAAATTAACGAACAGTTCATTTACAAACAGTTAATGACATTTAAAAGGCTACAATAAAAGGACTGACAATGAAATGTGGGCCTTTATTAAAGATTAATTTGAAATTTAGGCCTATTAGGTTCAAATTTACAATAGTCTAATTTAAATGGGCTCTATCTCAGGGTAGGGTGTAGTGCTGTCTTGAATGCAAAGATTGAATGAATTAAATAATGTCCAAATAATTAAAGTGTTTGACTTACAACATTCCAACAATGAAAATAAAATTTAGATGTTGTACAACAATTTGGAAAGTAACTTAAAACTTGAATCAATAAAATGTAAATTGGATTTTTTTGATGAAATTAAGTTAATTTTAATTGAACGAAATCTGGACTTTGTTTAAACAATTTAAAATATGGCTTCCTTCTCTCTTCAGAGTCACTACGTGAATGTTCACAGGAGTCTATTGTTGAACAAATGGAATGATTACTGCTCATTTGAATTTTTATTCCTTAAGGACTAATTTTGAATTATATTATATGAAATTTTGGTATATTGCAATTCTCTTACAACTTATGTAGGCCTATGTAATACATATAGAAGTTGTGGGCTTTGTTAAAAAAGGCTATGGAATGGATATTATTAATGATTAATTGAACTTAGATTAATGGAATTGTATAAATAAGTTAAACGAATATTAGGGCAGCCCTATCATTATAGATCTGGATGACTTTCTGACGAGTGATTAATGATAAAGAAATTATGAAGTGGTGTATGAACAAAATTAACATATTTTAAGGAACTTCATACTAAATGATGAATGTATGAAATTAAATACTACAAAAATATGTTAAACTGTTAGATAAATAAACAGATTGACACATTAAATAAGTTTTGATTTTTTTTATCTAGTGCCGATGTACCGAGCCCTGGCTCGGAATGTTTATTTAGATTATAAAAGCAATAAAGGAAACTCATGTTTTCTTTATAACTTATTTCGGCGTTTAGCGAATTTCCCCATAGATGTTTGTTATTTTAAATTTAAATAGGTCAAGACGTTAGTCTATTAGGGTTTAACTCGTCATCTCTGATCCTTAACTTGAAACCCTCAAATGGTGGGTCTATATTTTAATTTATATGTTAAACATCATTAAAAGAGATTTTCAAACGAAACGTAAATCATCATTAGGCCTATGTCCCAACAGTTTATCATGTGTATACCAGTCCCAGCGACCACATTATTCTATTAATAATCGACATTAATTTTGCAAGAAGATTAAATATTTTAATATTTGCTTATGTTAATTCATTATTTTCAAAGCAACCATCACTTATAATTTGTTTGGAGACAATAATTTAATATCAATTTATTCATTATTGATTTGAATTTTTTTCTAAAAGACGTCTCCAATTAAAATTCTAAGAATATGCTAGTTTGTTTGTTTTGATTTAACCTCAAATTTTGACACGTAATCGCATTACAGCCAAATAGGTTCATATTCAAAGATATTCCACCACACCTAAACCGCTTCTAGCTAAAAAATCCAACTGTAAATGAAGCAATTAACTACTTGGCGTCACTTGGCTTACTATAATCAGTGCAAGGATGGCCACTTTGTTAGGTAATTGTAGGAAAATAATTATTGTCTATGCATATAGTTTTTTCCAGTGGTAATTCTTTAATTTTTTTGGTGCCCCATTCCTGAAAATTTGAATCAGGTAAATTTCAAAACCTTAACATTAATTGTTGTGCACCCTTGGACGCCTACATGTTGTGTGAACAATATGAAAATGTTTACAGGAACAGAATAATTTTAGGAAAAAATGAAAACCCAATTAATTTACAGGTCTGTTGAAAAAAAAACATTGATAATAAAAGATCTTGGTGATAAAAATCTCAGAAAAATATTAGATCTTCCTTGGACCCTCTTGTAAGGGCTTGAAACCTAATCAAATTGTTGTTTTGCATCAAATTATAAATATTGTATATGCGTCAGCTACTTGAATTTGCTTTTCATTCAAAGTTGTTTGTTTACGTTTTCCTGAGTTAACATTTTAATTCTGACTCACAGTTAATTGCAAAATTCACGAACCAAAGAGATATTAACTAAACATAAGCAATAATATACAATTGAGATTTGCCTCCATATTCACTATTGTGAGTGAGTAACTGTTTTTTCAGTAGGTTTTAAAAGTGCGTAGGTTTTAATGCCCACATAGCCTCTGTATCTTATCCCGTTGCAAAGGACGGACAGGACAACTTGTTACATAAAGATATCAGGGTGATGTAAAGTAACACAAATTCTACTAACCATATACCCTGGTTGGTAACGTCGATGTGAAGGTGTTCCTGGAGAATTTGAAGGATTGTCTAAAGGAGAGCAGATTGTGACGTGCTGGAGTGACGAAGGGAGCTGTAGACAACGTATACAACACAGGGTTGACTGCGGCGTTGAGGGGCAACACGAACACTGCGACCCACGCGAAAACCTGGAAACCAGAACAGAGGGGTATTACTACGAGCGGATTGTGACGTGCTGGAGTGACGAAGGGAGCTGTGGACAACTTGCACAACACAGGGTTGACTGCGGCGTTGAGTGGCAACACGAACACTGCGACCCACGCGAAAACCTGGACTCCAGAACAGAGGGGTATTACTACGAGCAGATTGTGACGTGCTGGAGTGACGAAGGGAGCTGTGGACAACGTGTACAACACAGGGTTGACTGCGGCGTTGATAGTCCAGGAGCTGAGGGGGGTTGAGCATGCATGAAAGTAGTACGCAATGTTATTGCTGATTATTGTAATATGGACTGTGGTGATCAAAATTACGTATGTCGCCTATTTCAAAAGTGGTCGATAAGGTGGGGGGGAGGGGGCAAACATGGCGGTTTGCGCTATGCGTTAAAACGCTGATAGTTCGAAAACGGTAAAAGATAGAACATCTGTTAGAACGTCGTTGTAATCCTAACAATATGGACAACAATAATGGTCATTGGGTCCGAGGTCGTATCTCTATAAATAAACAAGTTATTGTATAAAATATGTAAAAATGGACTTTTCGTGTAGATTTTTTACCGAAAGTAGAATTAATTTGTGAATGTCGCAAAGAAGTAATATCAAATATCTTTGCTGATAGTTGTAATATGGACTGTGGTGATACAAAATACGCATGTCGCCTACTTTTCAGGTGGTCGAGAACTTGGGGGGAGGGGGGCAAAGATGGCGGAACGCGCTATACATCGAAATGACTGTAGCTCGAGAACGGTACGAGATAGGACATCGGTTAAAACGTAGTTTTAATCCAAAAAATATTACCAATAGAAAAGGTCATTGGGTAAAAAGTCGTATCTTAACTAATAAAAAAGTTATAACAATAATAAGTTTAACAAAATCTACATCGTACAGCTATTTTTTTCGAAAATCGTATGGATTGTTGATAAATAATAGTGTAATTACTTAATTACTCGGCTATGTATTAACTAGATGCATTTTCTTATAAGAAAAAAATATATTATTACGAATACATTTTGTTTAAAATGTAAAACACGGCCTCCAAACTACTGTACATATAATACTTGGGGTTTCGCCGCAATCAAATGCATAATACAGACTACCACTACAAATCCAATTTTAATTATTATAATGTTGTAGGTTATTACAATATAATTATGTAACAGATTCTTATTTAATACAGTTATATGAAATAAAAAACATAACTACAAAAGTAAATACCTTATAATAAAAAATACGGCAAATCTCTTCATTCTATCCATAACAATTACACTGGTTGTTCATATTATTTGTTGAATTTAAATAGGTACCTTTTTAATTTCTCTTAGCACCTGTAATACAAATAAAAAATTGTAAATATTTTCTTTTATACAAATGTATATACATCTATATATAATTAATGCATGAGAGCGGTCAAGAAATTTAAAGTTTATGGTGTTTATATTTACAATAGAATTAAACTACTATATATTATATTTCATATTTAATTATTATCTTATTTGTTTGATTATTTATTTATCATTATTTCATTTATATACTCAGTGTATAATGAAATACAAAATACAAGCAATCATTATTTTAAAAACAGCAGCAATTATAACGCAACCTAACGGACGAACCCCAAGGCGTTTGGAGGCCGTGTTTTACATTTTAAACCATATGTATTCGTAATAATATATTTTTTTCTCATAAGAAAATGCATCTAGTTAATACATAGCCGAGTAATTAAGTAATTACACGATATTACGAGATAGGACACACTGAGTATATAAATGAAATAATGATAAATAAATAATCAAACAAATAAGATAATAATTAAATATGAAATATAATATATAGTAGTTTAATTCCATTGTAAATATAAACACCATAAACTTTAAATTTCTTGACCGCTCTCATGCATTAGTTATATATAGATGTATATACATTTGTATAAAAGAAAATATTTACAATTTTTTATTTGTATTACAGGTGCTAAGAGAAATTAAAAAGGTACCTATTTAAATTCAACAAATAATATGAACAACCAGTGTAATTGTTATGGATAGAATGAAGAGATTTGCCGTATTTTTTATTATAAGGTATTTACTTTTGTAGTAATGTTTTTTATTTCATATAACTGTATTAAATAAGAATCTGTTACATAATTATATTGTAATAACCTACAACATTATAATAATTAAAATTGGATTTGTAGTGGTAGTCTGTATTATGCATTTGATTGCGGCGAAACCCCAAGTATTATATGTACAGTAGTTTGGAGGCCGTGTTTTACATTTTAAACCAAATGTATTCGTAATAATATATTTTTTTTCTTATAAGAAAATGCATCTAGTTAATACATAGCCGAGTAATTAAGTAATTACACTATTATTTATCAACAATCCATACGATTTTCGAAAAAAATAGCTGTACGATGTAGATTTTGTTAAACTTATTATTGTTATAACTTTTTTATTAGTTAAGATACGACTTTTTACCCAATGACCTTTTCTATTGGTAATATTTTTTGGATTAAAACTACGTTTTAACCGATGTCCTATCTCGTACCGTTCTCGAGCTACAGTCATTTCGATGTATAGCGCGTTCCGCCATCTTTGCCCCCCTCCCCCCAAGTTCTCGACCACCTGAAAAGTAGGCGACATGCGTATTTTGTGTCACCACAGTCCATATTACAACTATCAGCAAAGATATTTGATATTACTTCTTTGCGACATTCACAAATTAATTCTACTTTCGGTAAAAAAATCTACACGAAAAGTCCATTTTTACATATTTTATACAATAACTTGTTTATTTATAGAGATACGACCTCGGACCCAATGACCATTATTGTTGTCCATATTTTTAGGATTACAACGACGTTTTAACAGATGTTCTATCTTTTACCGTTTTCGAACTATCAGCGTTTTAACGCATAGCGCAAACCGCCATGTTTGCCCCCTCCCCCCCACCTTATCGACCACTTTTGAAATAGGCGACATACGTAATTTTGATCACCACAGTCCATATTACAATAATCAGCAATAACATTGCGTACTACTTTCATGCATGCTCAACCCCCCTCAGCTCCTGGACTATGAGGGGCAACACGAACACTGCGACCCACGCGAAAACCTGGACACCAGAACAGAGGGGTATTACTACGAGCGGATTGTGACGTGCTGGAGTGACAAAGGGAGCTGTGGACAACGTGTACAACACAGGGTTGACTGCAGCGTTAAGGGGCAACACGAACACTGCGACCCACGCGAAAACCTGGACACCAGAACAGAGGGGTATTACTACGAGCGGATTGTGACGTGCTGGAGTGACGAAGGGAGCTGTGGACAACGTGTACAACACAGGGTTGACTGCAGCGTTGAGGGGCAATACGAACACTGCGACCCACGCGAAAACCTGGACTCCAGAACAGAGGGGTATTATTACTATGAGCAGATTGTGACGTGCTGGAGTGACAAAGGGAGCTGTGGACAACGTGTACAACACAGGTTTGACTGCAGCGTTAAGGGGCACCACGAACACTGCGACCCACGCGAAAACCTGGACACCAGAACAGAGGGCTATTACTACGAGCGGATTGTGACGTGCTGGAGTGACGAAGGGAGGGAGCTGTGGACAACGTGTACAACACAGGGTTGACTGCGGCGTTGAGGGGCAACACGAACACTGCGACCCACGCGAAAACCTGGACTCCAGAACAGAGGGGTATTATTACTATGAGCAGATTGTGACGTGCTGGAGTGACGAAGGGAGCTGTGGACAACGTGTACAACACAGGGTTGACTGCAGCGTTGAGGGGCAACACGAACACTGCGACCCACGCGAAAACCTGGACACCAGAACAGAGGGGTATTACTACGAGCGGATTGTGACGTGCTGGAGTGACAAAGGGAGGGAGCTGTGGACAACGTGTACAACACAGGGTTGACTGCGGCGTTGAGGGGCAACACGAACACTGCGACCCACGCGAAAACCTGGACTCCAGAACAGAGGGGTATTATTACTATGAGCAGATTGTGACGTGCTGGAGTGACGAAGGGAGCTGTGGACAACGTGTACAACACAGGGTTGACTGCAGCGTTGAGGGGCAACACGAACACTGCGACCCACGCGAAAACCTGGACACCAGAACAGAGGGGTATTACTACGAGCGGATTGTGACGTGCTGGAGGGACGAAGGGAGGGAGCTGTGGACAACGTGTACAACACAGGGTTGACTGCTGCGTTGAGGGGCAACACGAACACTGCGACCCACGCGAAAACCTGGACACCAGAACAGAGGGGTATTACTACTAGCGGATTGTGACGTGCTGGAGTGACGAAGGGAGGGAGCTGTGGAAAACGTGTACAACACAGGGTTGACTGCGGCGTTGAGGGGCAACACGAACACTGCGACCTATCGCTTTAACAAGACAAGGAGGATGATACGATCTAAAAGAGATCTCAAACCGAAGCGGACTGGCTTTCTTCATTGAATTAGGTCCTGAAGTCAAAATTACTTTTTAGTCTTGAAACTTTATTCAATGAAAATGAAGTAATCCAATCTGTGATGCAATGAATCCTGTTATTTATGCAATAAAATAGCTATGATTTAATGTACCTTGCTTAATAATAATATTAGTTTTTCTTTGTAACTATTATTCACATACAGTTTTCAATTTTATGTTTTGTTATTTTATATATCTGGATATGAAAATATATTTGTCCAATTCCAGATGGTTCAATATAGTGAAATTAAAATATTTGTTTTTGACTTTATAATTAGTTTTACTCTTAGCTATCAAGCTTTGTGTGGTTGTGTAATCTGCTTCTGTTTCCTATCCCCTTACTAAACAATAGCCTTTGTCGTTTGAAATTCTTTGAACGCTTTTTGTTTTATGGAGAATGTTCCCAATTTATTCTACAAAGGATACCTCTTTTCAAAGAAACAGTTTCAATTTTCATTGGATGTTGAACATCCAACATTGGGAAACATTTAGGTTCAAAGTAGCATTTGAGATAATAGCTGTCAAGAAGTAAACATTATTGTTCAACATTCTCAATCTTTTTACAATTCAACATTTATACATTCCTAATTTACATACATAGTTAACAAGCACACAGCACTGAACCTCATTATGATTGAATTTACGAAAGGACGCAAGACAATAGGAAAATTAATAGTGCGATGATTTAGGATAGTGTTAAAAACTGTTATTTGTAAACAACAAATTTGGGAAGAATTTTTCGACCTAATTCATATAGCCGGAAAACGCTCTTCTAACGGTTTCCTGTATAGAACTTACAATCTGTAATGTGATCAATCGACATTTTCCCAGTCTATTTAAAGTTGTTAAGCTTCTGGAAACCGTGACAAACGCGTATTGCGCACCACCCGAGGTTTGTGACGTCGTATTTTGTATAATTGAATTTCTCTGAACCAGATGAAGCCAATCTCTACAACTGAATTATCCCAAGCCTCCATAAAGCGCGCCCGCCACCACCAAGCTCTCTAGGGGTTACTTAGGTATTCATAACCGAGTAATCTTGTATACTAACTCTAAATAATTAAAAATAATTATTTAAACCAATCTATGGAAAATGTTACTGGCAATTCAAATAAACTCATTAAATTGTTAATACTCATGTATGAACACGAAGTTTGGTTGACTTTTCAACTTATAATATTTGTGATGTTATTCTAGACGTAGAACTAAAATAAACGGTATCAGCAATCTGACACATACTTTCTCCCATTAGCTAAATGTTTATAAAAATCATCCAGGCCACTTTTAAGAAAATCCGAATTATTTTTTATTCCAATTTTTTTATAGGTTTTTGTAGAAAACTCACCATTAAAAATAAAAATTAAAAAAATTAAAAAAAAACTGGTATGCTTATAATGCTATTATCTTTACCTCCGTGGCCGTTGAAAACTTAAGTTTGTTTTGGCCTCGCCAACTAACAACTCATCTCCATTTTCTTCTGTCACCAGCCTCTTGTAATATAGACCCCAGGTTGGAGACTTCTTTCATTACCTTGTCTTTCTACTTCATGCTTGGTCCTCCAAGTGATCGTCTACATTGTGGTACTCCTTGGATTACTTTTAAAAGTTTATGTGTCTTCTCTCCACCACGCCTACCCAATCGAGCCTTTTACTTTAGGAAGATGATATAACATAGAAAGAAAATTTAAAATTAACAAATGTTGATACAGAGAATAGAAATGTCATAGCTATAAGCTTAAAGACTGAAACAGCTTCAGAGTTGTATCTTTTATGAACATTAGAGGGAGAATTTACTTTCAAACCTCTTATAGAAACTATTTTCGGTACTTTCCCGTTAAAGGGAACATTCATTATGATCGATGATTTTTTTCAATATATCAATATTTTGATTTCCTTTACGATACATTACAAATTGACAGCTGATCTAGGCTAAAACACAGTCTATTATTAAGTCTATGGATTAAGAAATGAAACTGTTCTAAGAACTATCATAACCAACATCATGCCTAACATAACCAATTAAACTTGCTGTACCATTTAAAAATTCCGTTTGATAACAGAAAAGGCAATTGGAAAATATCAAACGGAGTTTTTAAATGTTACAGCAAGTTTGGTTAGTTTTGTTAGGTTAGTTTAGGACAGTTCCATTTCAATATTTTTTTATTATTGTTTGTTGATTCTTAAATAGTTATTTGTGTAACTAGCGGTGAAAGTGGCACTTTGCTGCACACGAGAGCAATGTTTAGCAATGGAATGATCTCGAGTGCAGCAAAGGCCTTTTTCACTCGTGTTACACATTATATTTTTCCTACAGTTACTATAAAGCATATAAATAATTAGTCTTTCAAACACTATACAACACGTTTTTAGGTTCAGTTAGCAACACAAATGGTGCCCTAGAGAAAGTAGTACCCGCGGTCCGTATCACTCCGCTATTTTTCCTCGGCAAGAAATGTGCTCCGCGTTTTGAGAATATAGTTCCGTATGTTTTTGTAATTTGAAGTGGTTTCCGCGCAAAAAAAAAATGCTTTAATGGTATTTTATTGTTTATTAAGATCGTAGGAATGTTTTAAAAACGTTTAAAAGAAAAGTCCAGAAAGTTCAGAAATACCGAAACTATAAACACGAAATGACAGGTTAAATCGTAGTTATAATAGTCAATCAGCTGCTCATAGTATTATTATCTTTAAGTGTTGCCAACCTATTTCCAAGCGTACACGGATTACGTGCATAATAGAACCACGCTGTTTTGTGTTGTTTCGTTGGAATCCTGATGTGCGGCAAAGTATAAACCGTGCGGCAAAGTATAAACCGTACGGCAAAGTATAAATATGCAGCAATTAGCAGCTTTCTGTACTATAAACAGTAAAAGGAAGCCAACTTTGTCGGGTGACTGTAGGAAAAATATTTATTTATCGTAGTTTGTCAGCTGATATGTTTCAATTTGTTAATATTGATATATCGAGAAAAAATCATCGATAATAATTAATGTTCCCTTTAACAGGAAAGTACCCTATTTTCTTCTTAACACAGAGATTGTGAGGTCAGCCTTTAAGAGAAATTTAATAAAGTAACACCAGTCACTATAGTCAAAGGCAATGCAAAAGATTATGACAACGAGGACGTTGTAACAACTTTCTTCTGTAAAAGTAAACTCTTAAAAATGCGAATACCTGGGGTGGAACGGTGAACCCGGCAAGTGATAAGAGTCCCAACCCGATAATGGGAACCCAACATGCCGCGTCAGTCACCACCAGCAACGACATCCTGAAGGCCATGGCAGAGTCTGTACTGCGCCTCTCTCTAGAGACAGCCAGCTGCGTGGTGCGAGCAGCCACAAACATCCACAGGTAGCTGGCTGCGATCACACTGAACGAAAGCAGGTTGAGAACTGTAAAAAGAACAGGTGCTGAAGCTGATGTAGCGACAATCTACATGTTATACAGTACTGAGAGCAGCGTGGTGCGAGCAGCCACAAACATCCACAAGTAGCTGGCTGCGATCACACTGAACGAAAGCAGGTTGAGAACTGTAACAAGAACAGGTGCTGAAGCTGATATAGCAGCAATCTACATGTTATACAGTACTGACAGCAGCGTGGTGCGATGCGAGCAGCCACAAACATCCACAAGCAGCTGGCTGCGATCACACTGACACCAGGTTGAGAAACGTAACAAGAACAGGTGCTCAAGCAGAAGTAGCAGCAATCTACATGTTATACAGTACTGACAGCACCATGGTGTGAGCAGCCATGAACATTCACAGGTAGCTGTAACAAGAACAAGTGCTCAAACTGAAGTAGCGACATTTTATACAGTACTAGAGTTTGAAGGTAAATGTGTTATGACATGTCCATAGCACGTAAATCTTGACAGTATGTGTACGAGTATTTGCAGACTTTACAATAAACAATTTAAAAAGTTACCTACTCTAAATGTATTTGAATTGCAGTGTAGTAAGGTGTAATTAGCATTTATTGACTGAAAAGTAGGATATGTACTTAATAAAATACTTTAGCGGGACTCTAATAATGAAATTAATGAAGACTTAACATTTAGCTAAGTATTTGCTTTTTACGGGTTAAGTTCTAATATTGATCCTTTTCAAAAGTTTTGGATCCCAGCCAACGTTGAGCACCCAGGTCTTAAAGTATTCTAAGTTCGTTTATTAACGATAAGAGAGATTAGGGAGTTCAAACAATTTCAATTAGGGTAATTTTTCAAACTCAATTTGGTACTAGCTGTCCATAGAGGAGCTGGGGAATTAAAATTTGTATTAGGTTATAAAAAGTAGGCCTACTTACACAAGAAGACAAATACAGAGTATTCCCAGCCACTGGGCTTGTCCGGTGTGATATGGAGGGCCAGACACACACCCGACCTGCCGTAGAAATTGCTGAAAATACATAAAAGATGAAATAACAAATGCGAATATAACGTGGTGATGTTATAATGCGATAGATTTCAACCAGAGACTCAACTCTTGTATACTTAAAACTTTTTGTAAATGTGTACAGTATAACGTTGATGCACCGGAAAGGTATTAGAAGAGTTTGTTAACGATATTCGTATAATTTATTGTTATATGAGAGCGAAATTGACTTGTAAGACTGAAAATCATTGTAAGCACAGAGAGAATTATACTGTACCACTCAAACCTTAGAATCGCGTAGATACAAAGCTCATACAATGTCAGTTTAAGCAATTTGTGGCAGACTTGGATAGAACGGAAATGTATTAACCCTAGTTACGTGGTTGGAATTTGTAATGTAGAACAGATTATCTTAAACAATATATTGTATTAGGGATAGTAAATGTAAGTTTAAGGTTTAAAATACTCTGTAAACTACTACAAATATACATGTTGCAACATAGGCCTAAACATACTCTCCCTGATTTTGCTATAATTGGAACCCTTATTATTAAACATAACTCTGTCTTACATTTAGATACATGCGGTTGCTTACAATCGAGGTTTACAACTGTGTTTACAACAGCTGGCCTTTACTCTCTATGTACTAAAGTAGCTCATTTACTCCCTAGGGACAAAATGAGCTGTTTTAGACCCGCTATTGACCTGTTAAAAGGTCTATTAAAATATCTGGAAGAATAAAATTTTAAACAATAAACAATAGTACTTACTTGACGAACATTATAGTTGGTTAAAGTTTGTTATTATTTATGCTGTACTATCAGTTGTCTACTTTATCAAAACCTAAATCACATTATACATGTATGTACGGACTTGTATGTACGGTTGAAAGATTGAAGAGTGAATTAAAAGCCTATTTTAGTTTTCCTCTAGCATGGACAATTGAATCACTTATTTCAGAAACCACCTAAGTGACATTTTTTTTCAAATTTGAGTTTTCCACGTGATCGGACTAATCAGAAGTAAATACATCGTTTATTGCTGATAAAACCTATGTCCCATATAACCAATGCTGTTTTGCAGCTGCAGATACTACGCGTTTAGCTCAGAAAGAACCTAAGCGCCGTCGTTTAGGTTCTTTCTGCGGTAAACCAATTTGTCACTCATGACGGTTGGTGGACCTGGTGGGCCACCTGTTTTAGGTTATTTTGTTGTCTTCAACCAGTAGTCTTGGTTCTGTTATTGAGTGAGGTGTGAGATTATGTACTGTACTCTTGCTGTATCAGTAAACACTTTGTTGCTTGTGCGTTTAGCATTAAAATATTAGTGTCAGTGATTATAATAAGTAATGTTTCTGTAGTTTTAAACTATTATGTCTGACAGTGGTGAGGATGAACCGCCTACTCCTAAGCGGAAACGTGGAGTTACCAATGAGGTAAACTACAAGCGGAACGTTGTGCGTAATGCTAGGGTTAAAGGACTTAGTTACGTGTCCCACAAAGGAAAAGAGATCCCTCAGAAGTCCCTCCACTAAATTATTAACTGTAAGTGTCACCTTAAATGTAATTTAAAAGTTAATCAAGGCACTATACAGGAGCTTTGGGATTATTTTCATTCTCTGGAAAGTAACAACTCTCAAGACACATTTTTGCAAACTTTGGTTGAAAATGTACCAATAAAACGTAGGCGTAAAAAGCCTAACGTACAACCTTATCCTGATGACATCCTTGATAACCCTGATTTGTCTGCGGATAACCCTGATGTGCCTGCGCCTAATCCTGATGACATCCTTGATACCCCTGATGTGCCTGTTGATGAACAAATACCAAATACGCCTAGGAAAACAAACTCTTTTAAATATTACTTAAAAGTTAATGGTATTCTTACACAAGTCTGTAGAAATACTTTCTTGCAAGTTTTTTGGTATTTCTGACAACAGGATTAAGAGAATCAATAAATGTACTTCTCTTCATAAGAGCCCAGTAGACATGAGGGGAAAGTCTAGAAGTGGTAACGCTATTCCAGGTGATGTTTGTGTACGTATTCATCAAAATATTGAGAGGTTTGAAGTACATGAAACGCATTATGGGGGAAAACCAAAAAAATACCTTAATGCACGACTTGACGTAGCTAAAATGCACAACATGTTTATTTTAGACAACCCTGATTTAAAAGGCAAAGTTAAGTACAGTTTTTACTACACTACTAATTATTTTAAAAGCTATTGACAATTAAATAATATATTGAATAATATCGACTCACTGAAAGTAGTTGATGTTCAAGAGAGGCAATGCGGAGAGGAGAGCTGCGACAAGCCACCCTAGCGTCATCAACCACTTTGTACGGGCCATCTCTAGTCGCCGGACCTTGAACGGGAATATGATGACTAGGAAACGATCCAGGGTTATAACTGCAACATATGGGTACAACTATGTGTTACTAAATACTTGTATTTTTAACGTTAATAGATATGGATCAACATGATTCGTATTAATGACTTAGGCTAAATGACAAATCTTTTCTTTATTTAGAACGAATAGTAGCTACCCTTAGCTTAAGTCGATCGTTCCCCATACTATTATATTATTACTGTACCAAACCATTTGACACAAGTTCCGTTAACAATCTAATCTAGCCTGTTTTAAAAGGAAACTGAAAATTTTGAATACTTGGTACGAAGTATACTTTTTACTGTATTTATTTATTTGATTGTAATACTAGATTTGAAAACGGGTTTTCATTATTTTTATCTATTTATATATAAAGTTAGTAAGGGACACAAACTTTCGAGAAACCCACAAGGCGCACACCTATTAACCGTATAGTTGACTGAAAAGTGAATGGAATAAAAATGCTTCTTTATTGAAGCGAACTTATGACCTCATGGTCCTTTCTTACAGTCAACCTCTAGAAGAATAATAAAGAAGAATAATAATAGAAGAATAATAAAGACTAGAAGAGTAATTAAGACAATAATAAAGACCCTCCCAGAAGCTCAAGAACTGGGCTTACACATAAAGGCACAGACATTTATTACCCTAAATATTGTATCTAAAAGATAAAAAAAAATTATCCGTCAGATGCTACATTTATTTATATTTATAATTAATTGTTTGTTCGATTTCTTTTTTAGTTAATACTTTTTATTGTTTCAGACTGTCTGTGTTTACATTAAGATGGTTATTGATTTTGATTTTGCAACTCAGGTTATTATAAATACGTAAGGGATCTTTATTAAAATAAGCATAAGTACGACTGAGCTTTGCCTCTATAATCAATATTAGGGGTTTAACTTTTTTACAGTAGATTTTAGAGAACCACTTTATTATCTTCTTTATTCCCATCCCGTTGCGATGCACTGACAAAGAAACTAGTTTAGAAAATAATAACAATGTTTTATTGTAATCAGAAATGTAATAAAATAAGTAATAGTAAATAAAAATGCAAACTCATAAACAGTACTTTAAATTATACTTTAAGACATTTACGACATAGTCAAACTAGTGTTCCGTAACATTTGAATAAAGCTATTCGGACTTAAAAATTATTTACGTTTTAACAACTGTAAAATCTTTCAGCATCGCTGAAACTGCACTTTTCACACTTCCAGATTAATCCTGGCATAGATTTTCTTTGTCATATTAAGATAAATAACCAATCAAACCAATAAACAGAGCTACCAATAGTTAGCCTAAAACACCCAAATAGTCAGTGTAGTTATATTAGTATGGTCACCATTTCAAAGTAAAGTCATTACAGGAAATTATGAATATTACATAAAGTAAATTATTTAGTAAAATCTTGTTTATAATACAAAATGTTGCTATATACGATCTATTTGGGACTAATGTTAACACTAGCTTAGTAGTGTATTAGTTTATTAGTAGGCAGAGATGTGTTAGATCGTCTGCATTGCTTGTGAAATTATGAAAGGAGTTTACAAAATTTGGGCACTATTTATGGTTTTTTTAAATCGGGAGGAAATCATAGGCTTTTCTTATACTGCCCTGATGATTGTTGGATTTTTTTACCAGTCAGAGTAAAGACGGACAGCTCGCTGGAGAAGGTGGACAGAAAGCCCGCCATGGCGCATAGTCTGCTGGAGCGCCACTCGGAGTCGTGAATGAAGTAGACGCCACGGTAGTAGCGGTCGACCACGGCGATCATCAGTAGGTAGGAGCCCATCAGGAAATCGCCCAGGGCAAGGTTAGTGATTAGGAATGAATGTACCTATAGAATAAGTTAACACACAACCTGGTTAAAATACTTACATGAAATAAAACGTCAGAGAAAACACCTAACAAAAGGGAAACAGGATCTGTTCATTCGATATTGCAGCAAGTTTAAGGAGTTTGTCGGCTTTTCCTTAGATACGTTTGTTGATCCTCCATACAAGTTGCCAATGATAAAAACAAAAACCATGTAATATATTGACGGAACATTCTAAAAAAAATTTCTCAGATACTTTATGACCAAATAACGTATACTACACTTTTATACATAAAAAAATAGTTAAAGACCATGAATTGTTTGATGACTAAGATGATTTCAACAATGGTTTTGTAAAGCTAAAAACACATAAAACTCGTATTAAAGCTAAACAATCTATGCCGGACACAATGTCATGAAAAAAATGTTGTTAACCACTAATGAGCTACTATTGCTAGGTCCTGTTGTAGATTACTGACCTGATTGCAGTAGCTGTATTTGCTTCGCCATATGATGACCATGAGGTTCCCTACGATGGCCACGCCAGCCAGCAGCCACACACACAGTCTGAGGACCAGGTTGGACATGAGGTCCTCGCAGGAACTGAACTCGTCAGGTGGTGGCAGACATACGCTGGCATGACGTGCAAGACAGCACAGACGGAACTCATCCGTTACCCTTACAAAACAATCACACATAGTCTGAGTACCATGTTTAACATGTGGTCCTCGCAGGAACTGAACTCGTCAGGTGATGGCAGACATACGCTGGCATGACGTGCAAGACAACACAGGTGGAACTTGTCTGTTACCCTTACAAAACAATCACACATAATCTGAGTACCATGTTTAACATGTGGTCCCCACAGGTACTGAACTCGTCAGGTGATGGCAGACACACGCTGGCATGACGTGCAAGACAGCACAGGTGGAACTCATCCGTTACCCTTACAAAGCAATCACACATAGTCTGAGTACCATGTTTAACATGTGGTCCCCACAGGTACTGAACTCGTCAGGCGGCGGCAGACACACGCTGACATGGCGTGCAAGACAGCACAGGCGGAACTCATCCGTTACCCTTACAAAACAATCACACATAGTCTGAGTACCATGTTTAACGTGTGGTCCCCACAGGTACTGAACTCGTCAGGCGGCGGTAGACACATGCTGGCATGACGTGCAAGACAGCACAGGTGGAACTCATCCGTTACCCTTACAAAACAATTACACATAGTCTGAGTACCATGTTTAACATGTGGTCCCCACAGGTACTAAACTCGTCAGGCGGCGGCAGACACACGCTGGCATGACGTGCAAGACAGCACAGGCGGAACTCATCCGTTACCCTTACAAAACAACCACACATAGTCTGAGTACCATGTTTAACATGTGGTCCTCGCAGGAACTGAACTCGTCAGGTGATGGCAGAGGCTGGCACACGCTGGCATGACGTGCAAGACAGCACAGGTGGAACTCATCCGTTACCCTTACAAAACAATCACACATAGTCTGAGTACCATGTTTAACATGTGGTCCCCACAGGTACTGAACTCGTCAGGTGGTGGCAGACACACGCTGGCATGACGTGCATGACAGCACAGGCGGAACTCATCCGTTACCCTTACAAAACAATCACACATAGTCTGAGTACCATGTTTAACATGAGGTCCTCGCAGGAACTGAACTCATCAGGCGGCGGCAGACACACGCTGGCATGACGTGCAAGACAGCACAGGCAGAACTCATCCGTTACCCTTACAAAACAATCACACATAGTCTGAGTACCATGTTTAACATGTGGTCCCCACAGGTACTGAACTCGTCAGGTGGTGGCAGACATACGCTGGCATGACGTGCAAGACAGCACAGACGGAACTCGTCTGTTACCCTTACAAAACAATCACACATAGTCTGAGTACCATGTTTGACATGTGGTCCTCGCAGGAACTGAACTCGTCAGGTGATGGCAGAGGCTGGCACACGCTGGCATGACGTGCAAGACAGCACAGGCGGAACTTGTCTGTTACCCTAACAAAACAATCACACATAGTCTGAGTACAGTACCATGTTTGACATGTGGTCCTCGCAGGAACTGAACTCGTCAGGTGGTGGCAGACATACGCTGGCATGACGTGCAAAACAGCACAGGTGGATTTTGTCCGTTACCCTTACAAAACAATCACACATAGTCTGAGTACAGTACCATGTTTAACATGTGGTCCCCACAGGTACTGAACTCGTCAGGTGGTGGCAGACATACGCTGGCATGACGTGCAAGACAGCACAGGTGGAACTCGTCTGTTACCCTTACAAAACAATCACACATAATCTGAGTACCATGTTGGACATGTGGTCCTCGCAGGAACTGAACTCGTCAGGTGATGGCAGAGGCTGGCACACGCTGGCATGACGTGCAAGACAGCACAGGTGGAACTTGTCTGTTACCCTTACAAAACAATCACACATAGTCTGAGTACAGTACCATGTTTGACATGTGGTCCTCGCAGGAACTGAACTCGTCAGGTGATGGCTGTGACGCAAGCGCCACAGCTTCATGGCGTAAGGCGCTAGCATGCCGTTCAACCGCTCTTTTTCTTGGACCAATTTTTTCTAAGCTCAGCCGGCTCGTCTCTTCTCTCGCCCCTGTCTGCCCGCTGCCGTGATTTGACGAACTTCGAGTCTTCAAACTTCGTACAGAATGAACAATAATCAAGCTAAGTTAACTTATTAGTTTTAAGTAAAATATTAAAATATGTTAGGCTAGAGGTAAATCTCAGGGGGGGAAGCCACTGGCTTCGCAGGTACGCTGGAAAATGTAGTAAATAACTATCAAGTTTGATTCCGCCTAACGGAATCAAACAATCCTTTTCATGTTTCGAAGCCACATGTTCCAAGAGATTAAATTGCCGGTTAGAGGGGTTGCTTAGTTCATCTACCAGTTACAATTCAACCAATTCTTGCTTCAATCAGGTTTTTCTTATATATATTCATATATTAGTTTGGAAGGTGTCAACCAAAATTAGGGTATTTAAGTGTGTTAGTTAAATAAGTGTAATCAAAGCTGGGTTGGGCTGTCTTCCTGGTCTGGGTAAAAGGTCCAATTCTCTGGGCCCCCATCACACTTTTCCAGTAATCCAAGGTAATACTGACAACCAGAATAGTTTAAAACCATATCACAAGACTACCACCACCACAAATGGTAGCAGAGCGTGGTTACGATCCACGGACCTCTGGGTTATACCAGTACGCCCCTCCCAAACTTCTTTTGATGAGGCAGCATATCGACGAATTGTTACAGAAGGGGGTAATCAGACCGTCAACATCCCCGTACGCCTCGGCGGCGTTTTTGGTACCCAAGAAGGGGGGCAAAACCCGCATGGTCGTTGACTATAGGAATCTTAATGCTATTTTAGAATTGGATGCAACACCCATGCCGACGATCGAAAGTGCTTTCCAGCACCTAGGGCAAGCGCGCTGGTTTACTTTCCTCGATTTGAACTCGGCTTACAATCAGATACCCCTGGCCGAGGAGTCTAAGCCCTACACGTCCTTTGTTGTACCTTGGGCACAGTATGAGTTCAACTATCTACCTTTTGAACTCGCTTCGGGAAGCATGGTGCTCACCTCATTAATTGACAGAATTTTTGGAGACATCAAATTTAATTACATATATAATTTTTTCGATGATCTATGTGTGTACAGTGACTCTACCTTTGAGGATCACCTGCAAAAGGTTGGGTTAGTTATTCAAAGACTTCGTGACGCCGGACTCACTGTCAATCCCCAAAAAATTACAGTTGCAGCCAATAAAATTCAGTTTCTCGGACACGTATTCAGTAACCACACCATTTCCATACACCCTGATAGAACAAAGCCAATTGACGAGTACCCCACCCCCAAAAATGTCAAGCAATTATCCCGTTTTTTGGGCATGACGGCGTTCTACGCACGTTTCATTAAAAATTACGCGACCATCACCATGCCTCTAAATCATTTGAAGAAGAAGGGAGTTCCCTTTGTTTTCGGCCCCGATCAGGTTCAAGCTTTCGAGACCCTCAAGAGAGCTTTAGTCTCTTCATCGATACTGCGTATGCCGGATTTCACAAGGGATTTTGTTGTTCACACCGACGCTAGCGGCTCAGCCATTGGGGCCGTACTGATGCAAACCCACGGAGACCAGTTGTTTCCAGTCTCGTACGCATCTAGGGCTTTAAACAAGCATGAATTAAATTATTCCACCTTGCAACTCGAATGCCTTGCAATAGTTTTTGCATTGCAAAAATATCAACAGTACCTGGAACACAGAGAGTTTGAGCTTCACTCAGACTGCTCAGCCCTCACCTGGCTTCTCAACCACCCGCGACAGATGGGTAAGATTGCCCGTTGGGTCTCTTTCATAAATTCATTCAAGTTCAAGATCTACCATATCCGTGGAAGGGACAATGTCATCGCCGATGCCCTTTCTCGCCTATATGAAAACTCCGAACCAACTGAAATTTCACCCCCCACTCCTCAACCATCCACATTATCCCTTTTCGCTCTCCCCGAGGTTTTCAAAGACATAGCCGACCATCAACTCGATGATCCTGACCTCAGGAAGATCATCAGGTCCACCAACAAACCCCAAAATTATTCAGTCGAGAACAATATCCTTCTTCACCGTCAACCAAATCAAACCAAACCAAGGGTAGTGGTTCCATCCAAGCTTCTTGACCTCATTTTCAAATACTACCATGAATCTCCCACATCAGCTCATTTGGGCATAAACAAAACCTTGTCTCGCATCGAGCCCTTTTTCTGGTCTCCTGACCTCAAGGCTTACGTCACTAACAGGGTAAGAGCTTGCGTTAGCTGTCAGAGGTGCAAACAAGCCCCCAACACCAAGGTCGGAAGACTCGCTTCTGAAATCGTTACCAAACCTTGGGAAAAAATTTTCATTGACCACATTGGACCCCTTCCATTGTCCGCCAACCGCAATAGATACATTCTCACCATTGTAGACTCTTTTTCAAAATTTTGCTTCATGATCCCAGTTAGGAACACCAGGGCGGAAACAACTGTCACGGTGCTCAACAGACAAGTTTTTGCAATATTTGGCCCACCCAAATTTTTGGTTTCTGATAATGTTTCACATTTCAAGTCTGTTACCGTCAAGAACCTCTGTATGGGTCTGGGAATCCAACACATATACACCAGCCCATACTATCCCAACCCCTCGCACGCCGAGAGGGTAAACAAACAGATCAAAATTGCCATCCGAATCTTCCACCATCAACATCAAAGGCTATGGGACCAGGAACTCCACTGGTTCCAAATAGCTTTCAATTCAGCCATTCATGAATCCACCAAGACTTCCCCTGCCCGTTTATTCCTAGGTAGACACCTACATCATCCCTTAGAACTTCATTGGAACCTAGACAAATTAGTCGACGAGCAATGCACCCCACAATCCTCCCACGACGAGTGGAGTAGGGCCGTCGAAAACCTATCAAAAGCTAGACAGCAGAGACAACAGAAATACGACTTAAACAGACTGCCCAACCCTTATAAATCTGGGGATTGGGTAATGTTTAAGGAACACCACATCAGTAGGGCCGCCAATGCAATCAATAGTAAGCTTTTACCAGTCTGGTCCAAACCTTGTGTAATAGAGTCCTTTTCATCACCAGTGACAGC